TGGTGAGGGAGCCAGCAGTCATGGAAAGGCCTGTCTACTGGTTGATGCTGTGGTGAGGGAGCCAGCAGTCATGGAAAGGCCTGTCTACTGGTTGATGCTGTGGTGAGGGAGCCAGCAGTCATGGAAAGGCCTGTCTACTGGTTGATGCTGTGGTGAGGGAGCCAGCAGTCATGGAAAGGCCTGTCTACTGGTTGATGCTGTGGTGAGGGAGCCAGCAGTCATGGAAAGGCCTGTCTACTGGTTGATGCTGTGGTGAGGGAGGCCAGCAGCCATGGAAAGGCCTGTCTACTGGTTGATGCTGTGGTGAGGGAGCCAGCAGTCATGGAAAGGCCTGTCTACTGGTTGATGCTGTGGTGAGGGAGCCAGCAGACATGGAAAGGCCTGTCTACTGGTTGATGCTGTGGTGAGGGAGCCAGCAGACATGGAAAGGCCTGTCTACTGGTTGATGCTGTGGTGAGGGAGCCAGCAGCCATGGAAAGGCCTGTCTACTGGTTGATGCTGTGGTGAGGGAGCCAGCAGTCATGGAAAGGCCTGTCTAGTTGTTGATGCTGTGGTGAGGGAGCCAGCAGTCATGGAAAGGCCTGTCTACTGGTTGATGCTGTGGTGAGGGAGCCAGCAGTCATGGAAAGGCCTGTCTACTGGTTGATGCTGTGGTGAGGGAGCCAGCAGCCATGGAAAGGCCTGTCTACTGGTTGATGCTGTGGTGAGGGAGCCAGCAGCCATGGAAAGGCCTGTCTACTGGTTGATGCTGTGGTGAGGGAGCCAGCAGTCATGGAAAGGCCTGTCTACTGTCTCAGGACTCTGCTCTCACACTCATTTTTTTTACATTTTAGTCATTTAGCAGACACTCTTATCCAGAGTGCATACATTTTTTATACTGGAATCGAACCCACAACCCTGGCGTTGCAAATGCCATGCTCTACATCCCTGCCGGCCATTCCCTCCCCTACCCTGGGCCAAATTGTGCGCCGCCCCATGGGTCTCCCAGTCACGGCCGGCTACAACAGAGACTGGATTCGAACCAGGATCTCTAGTGGCACAGCTAGCACTGCGATGCAGTGCCTTAGACCACTGCGCCACTCGGGAATACACTCAACACCCTCACAACCAGAACCCTCACACTCCTATTGATAAAGTCCTATAGATTTATTTCCTCACCTTGTGACTGACATAATGACCAGTCTAACAGGTCTCAACCAGGTAGGCCAATGTGGCAGATTGCCTGACAAGGTGTAAATGGTGCCCAGGCTGACAGTGAGCACCAGCTCCCCCTTGTGGATTATTTGAGTATGAACACAATTACTCCACCATGTAGCTATACTGAACAAAAATATAAACGCAACATGTGACAATTTCAAAGATTTTACTGAGTTACAGTTCATATAAGGAAATCAGTCATTTGAATGAACATTAGGCCCTAATCTATGGATTTCACATGACTGGGCAGGGGCGCAGCCATGGGTGGGCCTGGGAGGATGTAGGCCCACCCACTGGGGAGCCAGGCCCAGCCAATCAGAAGGAATTTTTCACCCGCAAAAGGGCTTTATTATAGACAGAAATACTCCTCAGCACCCCTTCCCCCCCCCCCCTCAGATGATGCTGCAGGTGAAGAAGCCGGATGTGGAGGTCCTGGTCTGGCGTGGTCACCGTGGTCTGGGGAGGTCCTGGGCTGGCGTGGTTACACGTGATCTGTGGTTGTGAAGCCGGTTGGGCGTACTACCAAATTCTCTAAAACGACGTTGGAGGCAGCTTATGATAGAGAAATGAACATTAAATTATCTGGCAACAGCTCTGGTGGACATTCCTGCGGTCAGCATGCCAATTGCACGCTCCCTCAAAACTCCCTCATCTGTGGCATTGTGTGGTGTGACAAAACTGCACATTTTAAAGTAGTCTTTTATTGTCCCCAGCACAAGGTGCACCTGTGTAATGATCATGCTGTTTAATCAGCTTCTTGATATGCCACGCCTGTCAGGTGGATTATCTTGGCAAAGGAGAAATGCTCACTAACAGGGATGTAAACAAATCTGTGCACAAAATTTGAGAGAAATATGCACTTTGTGCGTATGGAACATTTCTGGGATTATTTTTTTTGGCCCATGAAACATGGGACCAAATCTTTACATGTTGAATTTATATATTTGTTCAGTGTCGATGTATTTTTCACCTCGCTGCTGCTACCCACAGACAGTCAACACAGTGAAGCCTAGCCGTACAAAATGACTAAATAAAGGAATACCTGGGATAGTATAAAGGTTATCCTTCTACCCCTTCTACCCCCCCTACCCCACCCCCCAAAAAAATAAAAAATAATAATAAAAATAATAATAATAATAATAATTACAAAAAATATATATATAAAAATAAATAAATAAATAAAATATATATTTTTTTTAAATAAAAAGTAAAATAAAAAACAACAACAATATATAAAACAAATTAAAATAAAAAATATACTCAAAAATTAAAATTTTGAAAAATTAAAATATATATATTGTAAAGTGGTTATCCCACTGGCTATCCTAAGGTGAATGCACCAATCTGTAAGTCGCTCTGGATAAGAGCGTCTGCTAAATGACGTAAATGTAACTGTAATGTAAATATAAAGCCCCCCAAATAAAGCCCTAATAAATAACTTGACCACTTTTTTTGAGCTAAGTTAAACCGAAACACACCTTGGTACCAAACGAATTGGCTCTCCTGCCTGGTCCTGCATGCTAACCACAGTAGCAAAGGGTAAGGTCAACAAAACTTTGTCCACTCTGTTCATAACAGATTTTAGTTTTGGGAACAGAAAACTTTATTGAAATCAAATGTTTCATTGATGAGAACATTTGAAGAATGTCGGTCAAAATCCATCTCGTTCCATCTTCTCCCGCTGCCGGCCACTGGGCTTCCTCTCACCACCATATTTGGTGGTATAACAGAGATGGGTATATTGGAATCAGGGAGGGGAACCAGAAGGGGTCTAGTGATAATTGTTTGTGTTTCTGCTGGTCAGAGGGAGAAGGCGCTCGAAGTTAAACAAATGGGGGCAAGAAATGTGAACTATATCGCTCTCAGGAAAAGGGCGCCATTGAAAGGTGTGATTACTGGGGTAGAGGTAAATGTGAAAGCTGACCAACTGAAGGGGAAGATTCCCGGTGTTTGTGATGCTCGTCGTTTGGTGCGACGCAAACAGGGTGGCGAGAGGGGGGAAACAGAAGAGTAATTGTCTGTTCTTTTGAGTTTTGAAGTTGAGTCTCTCCCCGACAAAGTGAAGTTAGGATATATAAGCCATCCTGTACGAGCTTATGTGCCGAACACATTAAGGTGTTACAGGTGTCAAACTTATGGGCATGTGGCAGCAGTATGTAGGAGGGAGATTCCAAGGTGTGAGAAGTGTGCAGAAGGGCATGAGACAAAGGAGTGTGAAGCAGTGGGGAAAGTAGTGGTATGTGCTAATTGTAGGGGTGGCCATGGGGCTGGGGATCAGACATGTCCCGTGCCAGAGAGGCAGGTTGAGGTTTCCAGGGTTAGACTAGTGAAGAAGTTGTCATATGCTGAGGCAGGGAAGAAAGTAGAGGAAGATGGGGAGTAGTAGATCTGTACCAGTACAGAGGGACAGGCCAACGAGCGATATATGAGTCCTGTGTAGCGAGGCCCCATGTAGCTCAGTTGGTAGTGCATGGCGCTTGCAACGCCAGGGTTGTGGGTTCGATTCCCCACGGGGGACCAGCATGAAAAAATGTATGCACTCACTAACTGTAAGTCGCTCTGGATAAGAGCGTCTGCTAAATGACTAAAATGTAAATACATGTTTCAGTAAGATTGGATTTTTAGCATTTATAGCAATGGTTATTAATTGTACTGCAGGGATGGAACGTAAGTCGAAGAAAATTGAGGTTGTGGTGGCAGCTGCAGAGAGGTATTTGGTTGTGAGACTTGACATCAGAAGAGTTACGGGGTGTGTTAAGTGGTGACGTCCCATCCTTTCAGGTTGAGGGCATGAGGTAGGAATAAATATATTTAAATAGTGGAGTAGGGTGGTGTTAATTTCATTTTATTAATGTTTTTTTTAATTTGTGAGTGTAGTGTTAGATGGTAGGGTATTTATTTATTTAATGTATTTTTTCAAGCAAAATATAAGGGAGTTGTACTCCAGTCTAGTAGGTGGCGGTAATGCAACATATTGGATGCCAACCGCCGTTCAACCTCAAAGAAGAAGAAGAAGAAGGACGAAGAAGAAGAACCGACTCGTCGTACTGCCCAATCAGAAAAACCCGGAAGTAATTCAGCCAGCTGTTAGCGTTGGTGTGAGTTGTGCGGGAGGGAGGGTGAAGATGGTGGTTGTTTGTGACTTTCTTTGGGCTGAAATGAAATTAATACAACGTATAAAAATGTAACCGACGACGACTACATACATCCACGTCTGGTCTCGATCAAGGAACATTGTGGTAAGAAGCGACAGATAACGTTAGCTAACAGAATTGGCAGTATTGTCATAGATAGAACAATGAGATGGGTTAGTTAAAAACATATTTGGTGTTGTTATGCTAACTGGCTAGCTAGTTTTGATTTAGCTAGAAACAATGTTTGGTCAATTAAAGCAAAATAGCAACCGTTGTAACATGTTGTCAATGCTAGCTAACGTTAGCTACATTAGCTAGCCGTAATCACGAGTGGAGTCGTGAAGAGTGATGGCTTTCTTATTTGTTTGAATGATTGCTGTAGTTAATAATTGTAGTTAGCTTAGCTAATGGAATTCACCATTTTAATCGGTTCGGACATCCGCTGTTGTGTCTCTGTCGCTCAAACAGATATGACAAATGTGTTGTGGCGAATAATCATGCAAAAATGTTTCACATATTAGTTACTAGTAGCTACTAAACATGTTCGAACCATCAAGAAGAAATGATCCTCAGAAAGTACTGATCAAATTAATTGCTAGTAGATCAGATATGACAGGTTTCTTCTAGTACACAGTTTGCCAAAGAGACGATGTGGACTGGATCAGACCAATGTGGCATGTGGGTAGTCATATAACCTGTCACTGGCTGTCACTAGACGTAAGAGCCCTCTAGTCTAGGCTATTTAAAGAGCATATGGGTGTGACGGTAGCGAGGCTTTGTAGACAACATACCGGAGGCTTTGTAGACAACATACCGGACCGACTATTAGGAGATCAGTGAATTTCCTCGACTGCAGAGGAAGGTGGAGCTTGACTGAATGATACCGATACTACAGCCAAGGTTGTGCTGTTTCACTGCTACTTGTTGTGTGGATAGCTACACTTGGACATGTCTGCTTCCTGAAAGGTGTCCTATTCCCTTTATAGTGTCCTTTGGGACGCATCCTGTTATTCAGGGCATCTAAATGCTCAGCCTAGTTAACATTAACTTGGCCTGGACCACATTATCTACAAATGACACATTTGCCTCTAGACTCGGGTGTTAAATGTGTGTGTTGGTACATCCAGACAGGGGGGTGTGTCCCCGTCAGGGAAATATGCTGTTGTGGAAGGGATAGAGGCCAGTGTGTGGAAGGGATAGAGGCCAGTGTGTGGAAGGGATAGAGGCCGGTGTGTGGAAGGGATAGAGGCCAGTGTGTGGAAGGGATAGAGGCCAGTGTGTGGAAGGGATAGAGGCCGGTGTGTGGAAGGGATAGAGGCCGGTGTGTGGAAGGGATAGAGGCCAGTGTGTGGAAGGGATAGAGGCCAGTGTGTGGAAGGGATAGAGGCCAGTGTGTGGAAGGGATAGAGGCCAGTGTGTGGAAGGGATAGAGGCCAGTGTGTGGAAGGGATAGAGGCCGGTGTGTGGAAGGGATAGAGGCCAGTGTGTGGAAGGGATAGAGGCCAGTGTGTGGAAGGGATAGAGGCCAGTGTGCAGATCTGGGATAGAGGCCAGTGTGCAGATCTGGGTTACATCTGTGGGAATACACACACACACACACACACACACACACACTTGGCACTGCACCACCTCACATTGCTGACACACACACTTACTTACATTTACATTTAAGTCATTTAGCGGACGCTCTTATCCATCCCGAATTACAACATTTTCCATCTAGATAGAACTGCCAAAGGGGGCGGAGTTGCAATCTACTGTAGAGATAGCCTGCAGAGCTCTATCGTACTATCCAGGTCTGTGCCCAAACAGTTTGAGCTTCTACTTCTAAAAATCCACCTTTCCAGAAATAAGTCTCTCACTGTTGCCGCTTGCTACAGACCCCCCTCAGCCCCCAGCTGTGCCCTGGACACCATATGTGAATTGCTTGCCCCCCATCTATCCTCAGAGATCGTACTGCTTGGTGACCTAAACTGGGATATGCTTAACACCCCGGCCGTCCTACAATATAAACTAGATGCCCTCAATCTCACACAAATTATTAAGGAACCTGCCATGTACAACCTGTTATGTGAATTATTTAACAAACTATTTCAGTGTCTCTGTGCGTCTCCCAAAAGGTTAAGTCTTTTGGATTTAAGAAACGGACAGAGTCCCGGTCTGCATAGTCAGAGATTTTATTCATTGAGAATTCTCCATCACAATTTCAGAGTCCATCTTTTATACTCATACGTCATACAAAAACATCCCTCCTCTCTGTAGGCGGGCTGTAGTTTTCCACTTTAAAACTGATCTCCTGACCATCAGTTCACACACACACACACACACACACACACACATGCACACACACACACATGCACTCTCCCAAGCCTAACAGTTTCTCTCCTCCCTAAATTCCTCTGTTATCTTGGTTTCCCAGTTGTCTGTAGCCAGTTCTCCTTGTCCTTTGTTGTCTGGTCTAACTCTTACTCACATTGCTAAATAGTAGCTCAATGTCATAGTCTTTACTGGTCCTACACTCACACATTACCAGGTAGTAGATTCTAACACATCTCGCACAGTTTCAGAGTATAATAATTAGTCACTACTAAGAAAGTACTAATCATACTTAAAACAAGAACATTTCACAACTATATTTAAGGGTGGAACATTGTCATTATTTTTTAACCTGTATATATTTTAATTTCTATATCAATCCACCCTTTGACTAAATTATCCACACTTTAATACACAGAAAATCATTACAATTACTTTTAAACTAGAGATTTATAGTTCTAGGAAAACATCCAGTCTCAAACTCTGAATCGTCGTCGTCCTCCACCAAGCCTGGTGGGTCATATTCTTCATTCCTTAGGTCGGAGTCCGGGATTGAGCCGTATCTCACCATCTGCTGTGATACTGCATACTCCAACGCCTTGCTCACCAACCCTCGGACACAGGGCATAAGACAACCCACAAAGAACAAGCATACCCATAGATGCGATTGCCGCGCCTAAAATAGTTACAACAATAGTTTTCCATTTACCCAACATGTTATCAAACCAACCAGTCATTGATGTATTCACCCCCCCAGTTCTCAGCCCATTCTTTACTTAATGCAGTGAGACCTGCCAGTGCTCTAGTTACTGTACCATCTGGGGCTGTATTGTTGGGGATAAACATACAACAATGACCTCCCACCATCTTGCAAATCTGCCCTTCTCTGCTAAAAGCATTTCGAGAACCAAACTATCCTGCAGGTCATGAGTGAGGTGGCGGATAGTTGGCCTGAGATTCTCTTCACTGCATCCCTTGTCTAATTAACTAACCTTTTGTAGATTAAATTAATCCAGTCAACATTTTTATCAATTGTAACCCACCAGAAAAACGTTGTTTTAAACCCTTCTCCAATATGATCTGTGATTCGCATTACTTTGGTGTCTATAACATTGATAATCTCTGGGGTTCATGGTGAATTGGGGTGCCTTAGGATTATCCTTTTTAAGAGTGGTTATTTTAGTATCAGAACAATTAGGTGAGGTTTTGTTTGATCCCAAATCTATCACACAAGAGAACATGGTCTGAGGCATAGGTGCAGTTACAAGGGTTGGCCTACCTGTTGAACAGGCATACAAATTAGTTTGACCCAACGCCCTAGCTGAGTTCCCCAGGTATGTTTAAACACCCTTGCCCAAGGACATGAGCGTTCCCCAGTGCAAATGTATTTACCATACCTTCTAGAACCTAACTTTCTTGTACACGCCCCCTTCTTACCAAAGCCCCCAAAACCTCCTATCTCTTCATGGGAGAAGTCAAATGGTATCTTGAATCCCCCATCTTGTCCTAAACTGATTTTAACTATTAAAATAATAATTCCCCCAATAGTCTTTCTTGGTTTCAGTATTTCTACGAGATCGAATCAGTGCATCATTTCCCTGTTTAGGTTGACCTTGATTAATCCATAATATGGTTACCATGATGATGCAGCTCAGAGTCCCCCAAAATCCCCAAAACCGCCATCCCAATCCTGTCCCTGACCCACTTGCCTGGTACTTCCCCATACCCAAACCTCTATAAACACCCCACAGTGATGAAAGGTCGAGGTAGGGTTTCTTCGTTAACAGAGTTTACCCCCGAACCCTAGTGGTTCAGTTCTTCTCTTTAACTCTGTGTGTGTTCAACGGTGTTGGTATGTGGGCCTACCTTTTTGCAGTGGGCAACGTGGACCCAAGTGGCTCTCTCAGCTATTCTTATAGCGAAGGCAGTTACCAATAGGACTTGGTATGGTCCCTCCCAGCGTGACTGCTTTCAATCCTTTTTCCTCAACGATTGGATCCACACCCAGTCTCCAGGTTATATACTATGAATCACCTTCTCCTTTAATTCTCCTGTAGGACACAAATTCTTAGACATACGGTTAACGAACAATTTTCTCATGTGTTCTGCTAGTGTAATCTCTAGTTCTATGTCTGCCTGTCTGGTCCTGCCAACTGTGGCATTCTGTAAGGTCTTCCAAACACTTTCTCACAGGGGGATAACCCATCTTTTTCTGGGGTTACTCTACATTTCTTCCCTTCACTCCGTGATAACTCTATAAAATCCATTTCCAATTGCTGGAAGGGGTACTTAGCCGGAGGATACTCACCCTAAGGTGCCCTTTGTCTGCCCTGGTGATTATTTTGAGCACAGATAACACATCTTGAACAAAAGTATATTTTTATTATTTTTTATTTTTTATAATTAGTAATCCCATATGCAACAAAGTGTTGTCTAATCTGCTCTACCATCCATCCCTCCCGTTGACACATGGCTCTGCCCATGTGTCAATATTATAGCATATCTAAACAGTAATTTCGGGAGAATTGGTAAGCTGTCTTTGACCCATATTCCTTCCTTATTTACTGCGCCTTGCTTCACCCATCTGTGAACTTCCTTAACTGGGTCCCTACAGTGGCTCTCTATAAGTAGATCTCTCCTGTGGCTCTCTATAAGTAGATCTCTCCTGTAGCGCTCTATAAGTAGATCTCTATCTATCCAAACTTCCTCTTTTGACAGCTGACTGGGCCCAGAGAAGTGTTTTAACCCTGCTGACAACATTTGATAATACCTCCACTTACTTCTATCCCGTAAAAGTCATCCAAGATTAGTACAATTTACTAGCAACAGGTATCCCTCATTCAGGGAAAGCTCTCTCTCTCTCTTCTGTTATTTTATGGTTCGAATCATATATATATATTATTACCAAATTATAAATTTCTTCACACTTTTCACAGTACTATAAATTACCCTCAACTTGGTAAAATAAACTTAAAGTCCTCCTCTCATGCCTTTAGAATTTACCAGTGTGGATGATTCATTAACACCAGAAAGTCAAAACAGAGTTCAGAGGCAATTGAAATAATTCAACAAACTGTTCCATCCCATAGTATACTAAGCATTACCATCATTCTAAATATTTCATAAATGTTAATTATCCCAAGTCCTCATGACATTTATTCTCATAAGAAATCATGTATACCCTAAACTCAGTCAAAACAGAAACTCCATAAAATTCACTGTGTGCTCTTTTAAGACTTTAAGACTCACCTTTGACCTGTTGAAAACCCCCTAAAATCAAAATAACAACCCTTTATAAACATCATACTAGGTGTGTTGTTTTGTATTTGAAAACCCCAATTAAAAAACAACAAACCAAAATAGCCAGGTCATGAGGACTCCTGATTTCTCTCTTCCCCTTCTGCCTACAGTTTCTTAACTGGTGCCCTTTCCTTGCACAGTAACTACACGGTTCCTCACATTCTCTAGCAAAATGTCCCGTTTTGTCACAATTGTAACACTTCCACTCACTCCTGTCTCCACTATTACCGTTTCCTTCTTGTCTGTCTTTGCTACCGTAACCTCTCTTCTCTCCAGCCTGTTAGACAGCAGGAGGATGGGAATTAGCAGCAGATCTTAGACAGCAGGAGGATGTGAATTAGCAGCAGGTCTTAGACAACCTGTTAGACAGCAGGAGGATGTGAATTAGCAGCAGGTCTTAGACAGCAGGAGGATGGGAATTAGCAGCAGGTCTTAGACAGCAGGAGGATGGGAATTAGCAGCAGGTCTTAGACAGCAGGAGGATGGGAATTAGCAGGAGGATGTGAATTAGCAGCAGGTCTTAGACAACCTGTTAGACAGCAGGAGGATGTGAATTAGCAGCAGGGCTCTGGTCAGAAGTTGTGCACTATATAGGGAATAGGGTGCCATTCTCTGGTCAGAAGTTGAGCACTATATAGGGAATAGGGTGCCATTCTCTGGTCAGAAGTTGTGCACTATATAGGGAATAGGGTGCCATTCTCTGGTCAGAAGTTGTGCACTATATAGGGAATAGGGTGCCATTCTCTGGTCTAAAGTAGTGCACTATATAGGGAATAGGGTGCCATTCTCTGGTCAGAAGTTGTGCACTATATAGGGAATAGGGTGCCATTCTCTGGTCTAAAGTAGTGCACTATATAGGGAATAGGGTGCCATTGGGGGCGTCCCGATAGTAAGCAGGAGTTGGTCTGAATTCAAAGTTATACCACATTCAGTCCAAATAAAGTCCAATAGTTTGACTGTAGTCCTGTAGTCAATGGACTTGACAGCCCAGCAAGGGTGGAACACTAATTTGAGGAGCCATGAAATATACTTTTGTTAAATGACTGTTTCTGATGCCATCTTTCTCCTCCCTCCTCCTCCCTCCTCTCTCCTCCTCCTCCCCCTCCTCCCTCCACCCTCCTCCTCCTCCCTCCTTCCAGGTCAGGATGCAGTCTCCAGGCCACCGGCAGCACCACCCCCTGCTGTCAGCTGATGAAGACCCTGAGGCTGGTACAGTACCTGGTGCCCTGGGTCCCCCGGCTGACCACGACCGCCTGTGGTTCATCCAGGACGGCTGTGGTATAGTCTGTGGTGTGGTGACCTGGTTCTTGGTCCTCTATGCTGACTTTGTGGTCAATTTGGTGATGCTGCTGCCAAACAAGAGTTTCTGGTACTCCATGATCAACGGAGCGCTGTTTAACTTCCTGGCCGTCATGGCGCTGGCCTCGCATCTACGTGCCATGCTGTCAGACCCGGTGAGAAGTTGGAGGGGGTGGGGAGGGGGAGGAAAAGAGAAGACAGGGGAGGCTCTGGTCAATGGAGCGGTCATCAACTTCCTGGCTATCATGGCCCTGGCAGCGCACCTCAGAACGATGACACGTCTATCTGTCTGTCTGTGTCTGTCTGTCACTGTGAGGACAGAGTGACTCTCCCTCTGTGAGAAGGAGACGGTCTCCTGGCAGGGTGAGGAGGGAGGACAGGGGGTGACTCTCTCTGGGAGAATGAGACTGTCTCCTGGCAGGTGGGGGGGGGGGGGGGGGGGGGGGGGGGGGACAGGGGGTGACTCTCTCTGGGAGAAGGAGACTGTCTCCTGGCAGGGTGAGGAGGGAGGACAGGGGGTGACTCTCTCTGGGAGAAGGAGACTGTCTCCTGGTAGGGTGAGGAGGGAGGACAGGGGGTGACTCTCTCTGGGAGAAGGAGACTGTCTCCTGGTAGGGTGAGGAGGGAGGACAGGGGGTGACTCTCTCTGGGAGAAGGAGACTGTCTCCTGGTAGGGTTTGAGGCAGGGAGGACCAGGGGGTTGACTCTCTCTGGAGCATGAGACTGTGGTCCTGGCAGGGTGTTGGGGGGGGGGGGAACAGGGGGTGACCATCTCTGGGAGAAGGAGACTGGCTCCTGGCAGGGTGAGGAGGGAGGACCAGGGGGTGACTCTGCTCTGGGAGAATGAGACTGGATCCTGGCAGGCAGGGTGAGGAGGGAGGACAGGGGGTGACTCTCTCTGGGTAGAATGGAGACTGTTCTCCTGGCAGGGGTGAGGAAGGGATGACAAGGGGGTGACTCTCTCTTGGGAAGAAGGAGACTGTCCTCCCTTGGTATGGGTTGAGGAGGGAGGACAGGGGGTGACTCTCTCTGGGAGAATGAGACTGTCTCCTGGTAGGGTGAGGAGGGAGGACAGGGGGTGACTCTCTCTGGGAGAAGGAGACTGTCTCCTGGTAGGGTGAGGAGGGAGGACAGGGGGTGACTCTCTCTGGGAGAAGGAGACTGTCTCCTGGTAGGGTGAGGAGGGAGGACAGGGGGTGACTCTCTCTGGGAGAATGAGACTGTCTCCTGGTAGGGTGAGGAGGGAGGACAGGGGGGTGACTCTCTCTGGGAGAAAGGGGAATGGCCCTTTGGAGGGGAGGAGGGGAAGGGGCAGGGGGGGGCTTCTCTGGGAGAAAGGGGGACGTTCCCGGTAGGGTTGGGGGGGGAGGGGGGGGGACAAGGGGTTTCTCTTATGGGGAAGGGGACTGTTCCCCGGTTTGGGTTTTTGAGGAGGGAGGACCGGGGGGGACTCTCTCTGGGGGGGAATGGGGGACAAAAGTCTCCTGGGAGGGTGAGGAGGGGGGGACGGGGGGGTTGGGCTCTCCCGGGAGAAGGAGGCCCGTTTTCCTGGTAGGGTGAGGAGGGGGAGGGAAACAAAGGGGTTTACTCTCTCTGGGAAAAAAGGAGACGGGCTCCCGGGTTTTGGGGCACATGAGCAGTGTCAAAAGGGGGGGGAGGGGGGAGGGGGGGAGGGGGGAGGGGTTGGGGGAGGGAGAGGGAGGAGGGGGGGAGAGGGAGAGGAGGGGGGGGGAGGGGAGAGGGGGGGAAAGGGGAGGGAGAGGGAGGAGGGGGGAGGCGGGTGAGAGGGGCGGAGGGGGGGAGGGGGGAGGGAGGAGGGGGGGGGGAGTGGAGGGGGGGGGGGGAGGGGGGAGAGGGGGGGGAGAGAGGAGGAAAAGGGGAGGGGGGGGGAGAGAGAGGGGGGGGGAGGGGGAGAGGGGAGAGGGGGGGGGGCGGGGAGAGGGAAGGGGGGGGGGGAGAGGGAGAGGGGGGAGGGGGAGAAGAGGGGGGGAGTAGTAGTGCAGGAGGGCAGTTTAAGGGAGTAGTGAAGGAGGACAGCTAGTATAGTGGCCCGGAGGACAGTTAGTAAATGGGACAGTATTGTAGGGGACAGGAGGACAGTCTAGTAGGGAGTGACCCCCAGGAAAAGTCTAGTAGTAGGTTGGGCCCGGATTGTAGGGGGAAAAGGGGGGACAGTCAGTAGTAGGGGCAGGAGGACAGCTAGTGTAGTGGGCAGGAGGGGGCAGTCTAGTAGTAGTGACATTTTTGTAGGGACAAAGGGGAACAGTTAGGGGAGTGACAGTATTGTTTGGGCAGGAGGACCCGTTTGTAGTAGTGACGGAGGAAGGGCTAAATAGTAGGACAGGGGGGACAGTCGAGTTTGGGGAGTGACAGGAGGGGCAGTCAAATAGTAGTGACAGGGGGGACAGGGCTAAATAGTAGGGAAAGGGGGGAGTTTTTTAGTAGTAGTGTGGGGGGGGACCAAATTAGTAGTAGTGACGTATTTTAGGGGCGGAGGGCAGTTTTTAGGGAGTAGGACAGGAGGAAAAGTCTAGTAGGAGTTTACAGGAGGAAGTCTAGTAGTAGTGACCCGGAGGCCGGGCTGGGTAGTTTTAAAAGGGGGGACAGGTTTAAATAGTAGTGGGCGGGGGACAGGTTGGGTAAAGGGAAAAGGGGGACAGTTAGTAGTAGTGACAGGGGGGACAGTCTAGTGGGAGTGACAGGGGGGAACTGTTAGTAGTAGTGACAGGGGGGACGTTTTAGTGGTTTTGTGACAGGAGGACAGTCTAGTGGTAGTGACAGGAGGACAGTTTAGTGGTAGTGACAGGAGGGGCAGTCAGTAGTAGTTTCCCGGGGGGGGACCAAATTTTAGTAGTAGGGACAGGAGGACAGTCTAGTAGTAGGGAAAGGAGGACAGTCTAATTGTAAATGAAGGAGGGACAGTCAATTAAATAGGGACAGGGGGACAGTTATAGTAGTGACGGGAGGACAGTCTGTAGTGTTTAAGGAGGACAAATTTTAGTAGAGTGAAAAGGAGGACAGTCTAGTAGAGTGACCCGGAGGCAGTTAGTGGGGTGGGCAGGAGGACAGTTGTGTGGTGGGCGGGGGGCCCGTCAAATGTAGTGACGGGAGGACGTTTGTGTAGGAAAAGGAGGACAGTCAGTGTAGTGGGCAGGGGGGAAATTGTAGGGAAAGGGCATTATTTTAGGGACAGGGAAAAAGTCTGTTTGTAGTGACAGGGAGGACAGTTTTGTGGGGGTTTTGGCCAAGGGAGGACAGTCTAAATAGTGTGACGGAGGGGCAGTAGTGGAGTGAAAGGGGGGGGACAGTTTTAGTAGTGTTGGGCGGAGGACAGTCCGTAGTAGTGACCAAAGGGGGGACAGGGCTAGTGGAGTGACCCGGAGGACAGTTTTTTTGTAGTTTTGACAGGAGGACAGTCGAAATAGAGTGAAGGAGGACAGTCGTAGTGTGACAGGAGGACAGTTAGTAAATGTGACAGGAGGACATCTAGTTTTGTTTTGTGGGCAGGAGGACAGTCTAGTAAATAGGGACAAGGGGGGAAAGGTTTGTGGTTTGTGAAGGAGGGGCAAAATTTAGTAGTAGTGACGGGAGGAAAGTCTGTAAATAGTGGAACAGGAGGACGTTTTTGTGGGGTGAAAAGGGGGGACAGGGCAGAGTGTGACAGGAGGGCAGGCTTTGTAGTGTGACGGAGGCCCGTTTGTAGTAGTGACAGGGAGGGGCAGTTGTAGTATTTACCGTATTGTAGGGGGGCAAGGGGGGACAAGGGTTTGTAGTAGTTGGGAAAAGGGGGACCCGGTTTTTTTAGTAGTTAGGGGGGGAAAAGGGGGGGACAGTCAGTAGTAGTTTACAGGAGGACAGTCTAGTAGTAGTGACGGGGGGGACAGCAAATAGAGTGACAGGAGGACAGTCTAGTTTGGGGAAATGACGGAGGACGTCTAGGATTTGGTTGGGGCAGGAGGACAGTCTTTGTAGTAGGACGGAGGGGCATCTAGTAGTAGTACAGGAGGGGGCCGTCTAGTAGTAGTGGGCCGGGGGGAAAAGGCTAAATTAGAGTGAAAGGAAAGGGCCGTTAGTAGTTTTGTGGACAGTATTTTAGGGACAGGAGGAAGTTTTTAGTTTGTAGTGGGCAGGGGACCGTCTAGAGTAGTGACGGGGGGAAAGTTGTAGTAGTGCCCGGAGGCCGTCTTAGTAGTAGTGCAGTAGTAGGGACAGGAGGACCCGGGTTTGTAGTATGACAGGGGGGACAGTCTAGTAGAGTGGGCGGGGGGGACCGTCCCAGGAGTAGGGACAGGAGGGGCAGTCTAAATAGTAGGGACAGGAGGACAGTCTAGTAGTGGTGGCAGTTTTTGTAGGGACAGGAGGACAGTTGGTAGTAGTGCAGGAGGGAAGGCTAGTAGTAGGACGTATTTTAGGGACAGGGGGGGATCTAGTGGAGTGACCCGGGGACAGGTTTGTAGTAGGGACAGGAGGGGCAGTCTAGTAGTAGTGAACAGGGGGGACAGTCTAGTAAGGTTTTGGGGACAGTATTTTAGGGAAAGGAGGAAAGTCTAGTGTGTTTACGGAGGGGCGTCTTTGTTTTTTAGTGGGCAATATTAGGGCCGGGGGGCAGTTTAGTTTGTGGGCAGGAGGACAGTCTGTAGTTTGTGGGCAAAGGGGGGGACAGCCCCAGTAGTAGGGGGCGGGGGGACAGCTGTAGTAGGGAAAAGGGGGGACAGGGCTAAATAGTAGGGACGGGGGAAAAGTTTTTAATAGTAGGGGCGGAGGACCACTAGTAGTAGTGACAGGAGGACAGTCTAGTGGTAGTGAAAAGGGGGGGACCCGTTAGTAGTAGTGAAAAGGGGGACCCGTCCCAGTAGTTTGTGGGCAGGAGGAAGTAAAAGTAGTAGTGACCCGGAGGGGCAGTCTAAATGGTGTTTACAGGAAGGGGCAGTCTAGGGTGTTTAAGGAGGGCAGTTCTAGTAGTTTTTTTGGGCAGGAGGGGAAAGGGCTAGTAGTGTGAAAGTATTTTAGGGACAGGAGGGCAGCCCAGTAGAGTGAAAGGAGGGGCAGTCAGTAGTAGTGCCGGAGGGGCAGTCTAGTTGTAGGGACAGGAGGACAGTCTAGTAGTAGGGACAGGAGGACAGTCTAGTAGTAGGGACAGGAGGACAGTCTAGTAGTAGGGACAGGAGGACAGTCTAGTAGTAGGGACAGGAGGACAGTCTAGTAGTAGGGACAGGGGGCAGGCCCAGTAGTAAGGGGACAGTATTTAGTGACAGGGGGGACAGTCCGTAGTAGTT